GAAGAAGATGAAGAGCCCTTTGAGGTGTAAATGGCAACACAACCATTAATTAAAGCAGTGCCTTACTATTAAAACAACAAAATAGCATTCTGCTTATCAGATTGGCAAAATCTAAAAAGAATGCAGTGTGGCAAGGGTGTGTGACATTCTCCTGTAAGGAAGTTAGTAAAAGAAATATCAATTTCTTCACTACCCAAAAGCAATTTAGAAAATCTGAGCAAAATAGTTTTCCTAAGCCAATCATGGTGGTACATACCTGTGATCTCAGCACTTAGAAGGCAAAGGCAGTAGGACCTTAAGTCTGACAGATCAGCCTGGGTTATATACTTAGAGTTCCAGACTAGCCTAGGCGACTAGCAAAGCCCTGCCTCAAAATAATAAAAAGGAAAAAAATTGCTTTCCTGTTTATAAGGACAAATGTCAAATATATATCAAATGAAGAGAATAATGTAATAGACCTAATATATTCATCATTCAGCCTCAACCTCAACTATCAAATGGTCAATCTTATTTCAACTAATCTCCTATTCTCTTTCTTTCACACAGGTTATTTTGAACATTATAGTGACAATTAAAAAAACCTAGATGTTATACATCTGCATATAATTTAAGCACATTATCTCTAAAAGAAAATGACTTTTATATTTCTACATCATAATGTCTAAAAGATTAACCATCCTGTGTGAGGGAAGGGGTGATATGGCCCAAAAAGAAATGTACTCCTACCTGACTTATGTAACTGTAATTCCCTTGTTCATCACTTTTTGTTGTTGTTGGTGGTGGTCGTGGGGCCTGAACTCTGGCCTGGGCACTGTCCCTCAGCTCTTCAGCTCAAGGATAGCGCTCTACCACTTGAGCCACAGCGCCACTTCTAGCTTTTTCTGCTTATGTGGTGCTGAGGAATCGAACCCAGGGCCTCATGCATGCAAGGCAAGCACTCTACCGCTGAGCCACCTTCCCAGCCCCTGTACATCACTTTTATGAGAATAAAAATTTTTTAAAAGATTAACCATCCTCTAGTATTATCAAATATTCCCAACTGTCCTTTTTTTTCACATTAAGTTTGTTCAAATTAAGATGCAAACAAGAGCCATATATTGCATCCTTGCTTTATCCCTGAAGTCTCCTTTAATTAATCTGTTAACTTCCCCTGCCTCTCCTTTGCCCTTGAGGTTTATTTGTGTCAGGGGCAGATCAGAGGTTACAGTGATGTAGCTCAGTGGTAAATACCTAGCATGTATAGGAGACCCTGGTTTCAGTCCCAAACACACAGAAAACCAAAAACAACAAATAACAATAACAAATAAAAAATGATAATCACTTATTCTAGAATTTCTTATAGGCTAGATTTTGACAATTGCATTCTAGTGCAACTTTTAACCTGTTCTATTCATCTACCATGCTTCCTCTAAATTGGCAGTGGAATTTGCAGATGCAATCAGACTTGTGAATACTTCCCATCTGGCACGGGGGAAGAGGGCACGTCTGACACCAGAAGGCATATAGTAAATGGCTATCAGATTAGTCAATAGGTTAAATTGCTACCATCCTACTCTATCATGTCATCATAAAGTTTTTCATCACCTGTTCCAGATGTTCAGACTGTATGAATAATCACTGCCTAGATCCATATTTCACTAGAGGATCTGAATGATGCCATAGCTACTAGTTGAAATTCTTCTATAAAGACATTGCCCTAACTGGGTGTCAGTGGCTCATGCCTGTAATCCGAGCTACTCAGGAAGCTGAGATCTGAGGATGGAAGTTTGAAGCCCACCAGGGCAGGAAGGTCTGTGAGACTCTTATCTCCAGTTAATCACAGAAAAAGCCAGAAATGGCACTGTAGCTCAAGTGGTAGAATGCTAGCCTTGAGCAAAAGGAGACTAGGCCCAGGGTTTAAGCCCCACATCTGGCAAAAAAATAAAAATAAAAATAAATTTTAAAAGACACTACCCTCATGAAGTAATTGATGAGGTACTCCAGGGCGAAGGCTAGTCTCTTTCTCTTCATTCACCAGTTTTCAGATCAATGTGGTGGTCTCTGGCATCCTGAGTTATCTTTTTTAATTAGTATCAATGTATAAGTACTTTATTCTATTGAACAAACTGACTGGTCAAATTGTAATATTTTGCCCCTTCAAGTGAAATTTTGAGTTCCTTACACAGGACTCTGTAAGTTTTCAAGACCTCCCCACATTCTGTGAAGACAAGATGTTCCAAATTTGTGTTACATACTTGTTGCTCTTGTGAGATAAAGTTGCCTTTTTTGTCAAACTTAAGTGCTTCTGTCTTGTATATTGATTTTTTATACTGTTATTTCCTAGTATTATTTGCTCTTTGACTTCAATTGTAACTATTATCTGTACTGTTTGTGTCAAAGGAGTTAAAAGAATAAATTGTAATTACCAGGTATGCTTCTTATGACCAGCTAGCCAAATTAGAGAGATAATTCTTTTTTTTTTTTTTTGGGATCCGGTCGTGGGGCCCGAATTCTAGGCCTGAGCGCTGTCCTTCAGCTCTTCAGCTCAAGGCTAGCATTCTACCACTTGAGCCACAGCGCCACTTGTGGCTTTTTTCTTTTTGCTTATGTGGTGCTGAGGAATCGAACCCAGGGCCTCAGGCATGCAAGGCAAGCGCTCTACCACTGAGCCACCTTCCCAGCCCCTCAAAGGAGTTTTTTTTTTTTTTAAATGCAACTATTAAGTGTACAATAAAAAAGAATAGGGCCACATACACCTTTTTTTTTTTTTTTTTTGCCGATCACGGGGTTTGAACTCTGGGCCTGAGCACTGTCCCTTAGCTCTTCAATTCTACCACTTGAGCCACAGTACCACTTGTGGTTTTCTGGTAGTTTATTGAAGACTCTTATGGACTTTCATTCCAGGGCAGGCTTTGAACCACGATCCTCAGATCTCAACCTCTTGAGTAGCTAGGATTACAGGCATGAGCCACTGTCACCAGGCAAGACCCCTTTTGAGTGGGGGAGCTTTCCACTGACCTCAACTGTTGGAGAAAGAGAGAGAGACAGAGAGACAGACAGGGAGAGAGACAGAAAGAGAGAGAGAAAGGAAGGAAGGAAGGAAGGAAGGAAGGAAGGGAGAGAGGGAGGGAGGGAAGGAGGGAGGGAGGGAGGAAGGAAGGAAGGAAAGGAGGGAGAGGAAGGAAGGAAGGAAGGAAGGAAGGAAGGAAGGAAGGAAGGAAGGAAGGAAAGGAAGAAAGAGAAAGAAAGAAAGAAAGAAAGAAAGAAAGAAAGAAAGAAAGAAAGAAAGAAAGAAAGAAAGAAAGAAAGAAAGAAAGAAAGAAAGAAAGAAAGACGGAAAGAAGGAAAGAAGGAAAGAAAGAGTGAGTTTCCTGCCTGGGCTGCCTTTGAACCTCAATCTTCAGATCTTAGCCTCCTGAGTAACTAGGATTTTTACAGGTGTGAGCCACCAGCATCTGGCTTCTATGCTTTTATTTTTAAAAAATTATTGTTATTATAAAGATTATATACAGAGGGGTTACAGTTTCATAAGTCAGGTAAAGAGTGTATTTTTTTTTTTGGACAGTGTCTCCCCTTCCCTTGCTCTTCTAGTTTTTCCCTCCCATCCCCACCCCCAAGCTGTATAGTTCATTTTCAACATCGTGTCTAGTGAGTACCATTGCTGCATTTGTTTACCCTTTGTCCCTCCACTTCTGTGCCCCCCCTTTTTCTCCCAAAGACAGATAAATGGACAAATAACATAAAAGGAAAAGAAAACAAAAACAGCAAAAAATGAAAAAAAAAACCTCTTGTTTCCATCTCCTGGGGTTCATTTTGATAAATATTATATGATACACATAGGCATTGTGCTTTTGTAGTTTATGCTTATTTTTAAGCCTCACTGACAAATCCCTTTCTATTACCAGCTATTCCAATAAATACTGAGTATAATATTTTAGAATTATGTTACACTATGCTTTGCTTTGTTTTTACTGAAGGAACTAGAGAATGTTCTTAGCACATAAAAAACTGGAAAAAGCTGGGCACGGGTGGCTCATGCCCGTAATCCTAGCTACTCAGGAGGCTGAGATCTGAGGATCATAGTTCAACGCCAGCCGAGGCAGGAAAGTCAGTGAGATTCTTATCTCAATAAACCACCAGAAAACTGGAAGTGGTGCTCTGGCTCAAGAGGTAGAGCCTTGAGCTGAAGAGTTGAGGGACAGTGCCCAGGCCCAGAGTTCAAGACCCACAACCGAGGAAAAACAAACAACCAAGCAAACTGAAAAAGAGCGAGGAGAAGGCGTGACATTGTCCAAAAAGAAATGTATTCTTTACATGACTTTGTAACCCCTCTGTACATCACCTTTATAATAACAATTGAAAATATTTTTTTTTAAAAAGAAACAAGCATTTTGCTAGGTACCAGTGGTCTAGTCCTGTAATTCTAGCTACATACAAGGCTGAAATGTAAGGATTGCAGTTAGAAGTCAGCCCTGGTAGGAAAGTCCTTGACACTCTTATCTCCAATTAATCACTATAAAAGCAGGAAGTAGAAGTGTGGTTCGAGTGGCAGAGTACTAGCCTTAAGCACAAAGGTTCAGGGAGAGTACTCAGGCCCTCCCTGAGTTCAAGCCCCAGAACCAGCACCAAAAAAAAAAAAAAAAAAAAAAAGGAAAGGGGGAAGGGAAAAAGAAAGATAAAAGGGAAGGGAAGAAATAAGCATTCTGAAGCCAAGAGCTGGTGGCTCACACCTGTAATCTCAGCTACTCAAGAGGCTGAGATGTAAGGACACGTATCAAATCCATCCAGGGCACGAAAGCTCAGGGACAGTGCCCAGGCCCTGAGTTCAAGCCCCACAATTGCACAAAAAACAAAAGCAAAATAAAACAAAATAAAATAAAACAAGCATTCTGAGATGGAATAAGCAAACAGTAGAAAGACATCCATGGAACACAGCTATACAATATTATCCCCCCCTCTTCCCCTCCCTCCCTCCCCACCCTCCCCCCTCACAACAAAAAGCCCCCAGGGCTAGCTCTTACCTGCTGAGTTGTAGCATCCTGTTGGACATAGGCTACCTGGCTTGGGTCTGTAAACAAAGTCTAGACAGAAAAAAAAAAATCAGAAAAACAAAACTATATATATGTGTGTGTATGTATGTATGTATGTGTGTGTGTGTATATATATATATATATATATATATATATACATATATATATATATTAGAAAAGTTAGCTCACATTATAGCTGGTAATTGTTCATTAATAAAGAATATAAAGGTTGAAATCTTACATCTGGCTAAAGGCCTTCATTCAGATGGCTCAAAAGAGACTGTATAAGCCAACCATGCCAATGGCTAATATTTTAATATTGTACTCTTTTTTGTTTTTGGTTTTTGGTTTTGTTTTTTGTCAGTCATGGGAGCTGAACTCTGGGCCTGGGCACTGTCCCTCAGGCTCTTCAGCTCAAGACTAGCTCCCTACCACTTCAGCACAGTGCTACTTCCGGCTTTTTTTTTTTTTGCTTATGTGGTGCTGAGGAATAGAACCCAGGGTCTCATGCATGCGAGGCAAGTACTCTACCACTGAGCTAACTTCCCAGTCCAATATTGTACTCTTAAGCAAAGCCTATCTTGAGACTGAATGTTTCAACTAATTAGGGAAACATGTTATGAAAACATAATAAACTGTCTGAGCAACAGTACATACATTCACATTAAAGATACTCACAAGGAATTGTGATAGAGTGAAAAATTGATAGACATACACAAACATACAGAAGAGGATTATTAACATAAGATTTACTCCTCTTTAGAATATAAACATGTCTCTCTCTCCCTCCTCCTCTTTCTTCTTCTTTTGTCCATTGTGGGGCTTAAACTCAGGGTCTTGACAATGTCCCTGACCCTCTTTGTGCTCAAGATGTATAGTTCATTTTTTTTTAATTTTATTTTTTTGTGAACATACTGTACAGAGGGGTTACAATTACATGGGTCAAGTTGTATAGTTCATTTTTAACAGTGTATAGTGAGTACCACTGATGCATTTGTTCACCTGTTATTGTCTATTTGTAATAATTAGGTTTTTTTTTTTAATTAACTACTGACTTTATCACAAAAGAATCGATGAGACCTTAGTTTATGTTCCTTCTACTTTTGTTAAGAAACAGTGTTTAGCTGGGCGCTGGTAGCTCATGTCTATAATCCTAGCTACTTAGGAGGCTGAGATTGGAGGATCGCAGTTCGAAGCCAGCCTGGGCAGAAAAGTTGGTGAGGCTCTTATCTCCAATAAATTACTCAGAAAAAAAAAGCCAGAAGTGGTACTGTGGCTCAAGTGATAGAATGCTAGCCTTGAGCATAAAGAGGCTCAGGGACAGCACCCAGGCCCTAAGTGCAAACTCCATGAATGGAGTGGGGGTGGGGTGAGGGGAGACAATAAACTAAACTAAAAAGGAAACATCTTCAAAAATATTATAGCCAAAGGGGCTGGGAAGGTGTCTCAGTGGTAGAGCGCTTGCCTTGCATGCATGAGGCCCTGAGTTCAATTCCTCGGCACCACATAACCAGAAAAAGCCAGAAGTGGTGCTGTGGCTCAAGTGGTAGAGCGCTAGCTTTGATCTGAAAAGCTGAGGGACAGCGTCAAGGCCCAGAATTCAGGCCCCATGACCAACGAACACACACAAAAAAATATTATAGCCAAAGTAAATCATCTTGATACATATTGTGGCTAAACATGAAGATGGCATAAAGGAACTCACTGAAAGCTATTGAATAATAAAGGTAGGGGGAACTTAACAAGACTGGGTAATCTGATTAAAGTACAATATATGCATTGTGAAATACTACAGTAAAACCCTTTTGTATAATTAATATACACTAAAAATCATGACAGGAATATATAACAGACTAAGCTTGGTGGTCGGTACCAGAGGGAGGAGGGAGAGTGTACACATTTTACAGTAAACACCTTGGCTCTGTTATGGTCCTATAAATCAGAAAGTTATTAATAAATGGTAAGTGATAAACTAGTCAGTAGGCACTGGAGCGAAAAGGTGATATGAGACCAGTGTTCTAATTCCTTAGTGCACTTTATTTAGATACATGAACCACCTCTTCCTCTACCAAGTTCTATAAGCTCCTTGAGAACACAAATCTTATCTGGATATTTTCTGTCATCAGCATCTAGCATTAGGACAGGCAAAGAGCAAACAGTAGCTGGTGAATGAATGAATGAGCAAATTAAAAACAATGCTTTACGTGCCTGTGCAGCTTCCACAGGATGGATGTATACCAGTGTGTGTTCTGGACCATCCACTGATGTGTAGGAGGTACCATCTGCCGTGTACACCACCTGCTGTGGTGGACGAACCTGGTCATCAGTGTAGACTATCTGAGCCACAGTTCCAGCATCCGGAACAAAGTGCACCTGGGGTGAGAAAACAGGTGATGTAGCAGCTATCCTCAGAAAACAAAAACAATTTCACAAAGGCACATAACCAATGAAGCACACTTGAGCCTCTGAAACATCCCCAGTGGAAGAGAAATGTGATATGCCTTCATTCATTCTGTGCTAGAGGCTGGGAGGCAGGATGGCTATGATCCTGTCACTGACTTGCTGCTTAACATTAGGTCACTGACTTCAACTCCTTCCTTCAAATGTCTAATGCAGATAAGCCCTTGGGAGTGATGAGAGGGTGGTTAACTGATCCTAGAAAAGTGACCCCAAATTTCTGCATGACACCACCACAAAAATACAAAACTATGTATTATTCTGGAATGTGAAAAAAAAAAATGTGTCAAGACTCAAAAACCAATTGCTCTCAACACATTACAAAAATTCTAGCCGGGTGCCAGGGGCTCACACCTATAATCTTAGCTACTCAGAAGGATGAGATCTAAGGAAATCAGTTCAAAGCCAACCAGGACAAGAAAGACTGTGAGACTCTTTATCTCCAATAAACTACTCAGAAAAATCCAAAAGTGACACTGTGGCTCAACTAGTAGAGCGCTAGTATTGAGTACAAAGAGGCTGAGGGATAGCACCCAGGCCCTGAGTTCAAGCCCTAGGGCTAATTTAAAAAAAAAAATCAATTTTCTGCCAGGCACTGGGGCTCATACTTATAATCCTAACTACTCAGAAATCAGAGATCTGAGGATTACAAAGCCAGCAGATACACATAAGTCTGTGAGACTCACTATTACCTCCAGTTAACCACCAAAAGTCCAGAAATGGATTTAGTATGGTAGCCTTGAGCAAAAAGGCTAAGTGAAAGTACCAAGATTCTGAATTCAAGCACTAGTACCAGCATATAGAAAAAATCTGCTTTCTAATGAACTATGTTGCAGCAGACATATTAAAATAAGGTCATGTTCTTTCTTACAGATGATTTCATACTCCAAGGACATACTAGAGGCGTCTGAGGAAATGTCTGCTGAATCACGAAGTACCGCCAAACTCTTCCTTTCTAGCTGGACAAGAAACAGGCAGCCCTAATGAAATACTTTCAAGAGGTTCTGGACAGCTACTAAAGCTGTCACCAAAGTAAATAATTTTGTACCTTTCAACTTAAAAAAACTTAAAAGTAGACACTGAGTTTTATAAAATGCTTTCTGAGTGGTTGGCTTGGGAGGATTGCATTTCAGAAGCTGCCGCTTGGCACATGGCCTAATGCCTGATATGGAAGGCCCTCTTGCAGATGACCAAAGTACACATTTAGGAAAGAAATAATTTATGTGCTGGTATTGAAGTTAGGTACTCTTAGGTTGGAATTCTTATTGCTCTACTGACTTAGCATTGGACTTTGTTTTCCTCCCTGATTGGCAGTACTGGGGTTTGAACTCAGAACCTCAACTTGCTACTCTGGTACAATGCCACTAAGCAGTACCTCCCGCTGAGTTTTCCACTTGATATTTTTAGGAAATGGTCACACTTTTCAGGCTTGTGCCTGAGTTGTGACCTGCCTACTTTAGGCTTCCAGTTGTTGCTGGGGTGACTGGATATCCCCTCAATGGAAACAGAGTCTCCCAGACTTTTCTAACCAAGCTGGCCTGGAACCATCATCTTGGGGTGACAGGGTGCATACCATTGTGCCCAGGTATAGATTAAGAAGGGGTTTCGGGAACTTTTCTGACTGGGCTGGTCTCAAATCATGATCCTTCCATCTTTAGACTCTCACTCTCACATTAGAGGTGTGTGCCAGCAGCACCTGGCCAGACCTAACCTTTTAAATGTCAGTTTTCTCCAGTAGGGAATAAAGAGTCTGAAAATAATATAAACTAACTTAATCCCAAAATGGAGGGGGGGGCAGGGGAAGAGAAGAGCTTAGAGACCAGATAGAATAATCAAGCACCAAAGAAATATAACTACCTTCACTGCAATACTAAACCTTTAGTTTAGCATCTATATACATTTGATTTTCCAAGAAGATAAAGTTTATATATTGGGAAAATTAGTCTCAAAACATATTTTCAATTTTCATTGTCATTAAGATAATTTTGTGACTTTTAGATTTATATTTCTATGACTCAAGATTTGGTCACTGACATCAAAGCTTTGAACTAATATCAATGCTTTAAAAAAAATGCCAGGGGTATAGCTCCAGTAATAGAGTGCTTGCCTAGCATGCAAGAAGTTCAATCCCCAGTAGTTTTTGTTTTGGGTTTTTTTTTAAAGAAAAAAAAGGAAGAAAAGAAAAAGCATTACCTCAAAAGATGAGACATTCAAGCCTTCCTCACTCAGATTCTGCAAATAAGAGTTTGCAGAATCAGGATTCCTGGCTATGAGCAGAAATGACTAGAAAGAAAAGGTCTCATAGGGCTCCTGATCTCACCTTTCTATTGTCTGGTTACCAACAGATGGGGGTCCTGGTCACAGACAGCATTGCAACCAGATTTTCTTGGTTTTGCCTTTTGTTAAATAAGATATACCAAAATAGATAACTTCAGGAAAGTGTACTTCAAAATGATTTATTTGAGAACCAAAGCAATGTTCTCTATTAATCTGCAAACATCTCTGGTACTGTTTTATTGTTATTATCATTATTATTGTTACAAAGGGTTTTCATTGTTACATCGTTATTTCTAGCATTGTTATTGTTACATCATTATTTCTAGCACTACTTTTTTTTAAAGTTTGCAGACTGAAACTTTAAATTCATACCAGATGATCAATTTTACCAACTATCACATCTATATTGCTTAAATGAAATAAGATATGCATATTTAAATGTTTCAAGATTAACTTCCTGATTTTGACAATAGTGCTATGGTGATGTTCTAATGAAAAATTAAATTAAAAACTTTACATGTATCATCCTAATGTGCAAAAACAATTATATCTTAGTCAAATACAAATCACAGCTTGTTATGACTGTTAACTCATCCTAACACTCAAATCCATTAAAAAAAAAAAAATGCTAAGACTTGCCTTTGCTAAGACAGCCAGTTCTGAGAGCAATTCAAAAAACAGAGCTCATCTCTGACAGTAGCATTTGAGCAAGAGTCTAAACTGGTGACTCAGAACAGGACAACTTGTCCTTAGAGGTTTATATACTAAACTTAAAAAGAAAAGGCCACTCGCATTATAAAGATAGCTTGTACTTTATTACTCACTTAAAAAAATCAAAACCATATACTAGATAACATCAAAGCGACCAACAATTGTTTGAATTTTCAGGACCAATAGCATAAAATAAGGCAGAGTCATCAAGTCAGCTCTGACAGAAAGCTACAGAAAAGGTGACACCTATGGATGGTGAATAAGTTCTAACTCAGTGAACCACTGGAGCATTCAAAGTATGGAAACATTTCCTACTACATGCAAAGGTCTTCACATTGGCTCCCTCCCAACCACTCAATATTATAGAGGAGGCATTATTTCTCTAGCAGTCAGCAAACTACCCTACCAAAACACTGCTAAGAACAGCAAGTGGGAAAAGACCACCCTTCACCTGTGTAGCATTCTGCTCATGCTCTGCAGACGTCTGCCACACATGAGAGCTTCCATCCTTGGCATCCATTGTCTCCCTGCTGGACAGCTCCAAGTCTGGGCCACCTACCGCAGCAGCACAGGGGAGAGGACAGTCATCTGTCCAGCACACGTGCACTCATCAAGGACAGAATGGTCTCTCTGCAATATGCCTGGAAGAGACAGAAAGGGAACCAAGATTTTAAGTAAGTGAATACATTTTAATAAATTACAGCTTTAACCACAAAAAAGGAAAAATAAAAAAAGCTTTGCTATAAAAGTCAACACACCTGAGCCAAAAGGTAAAAATGAAGAAATTACTCAGATAATAATACAGTGAACTGCATATTTACTATAGGATATGTGTATCTATATAGATTGTATATATAATGTAGTACTCTTTAAAAACACTGAAGGTGAGCAGGGCACAGGTGGCTAATTCCTGTAATCCTAGCTATTTGGGAGGCTGAGACCTGAGAATCACAGTTCAAAGCCAGCCAGGGCAGGAAAGTCTGTGAGCATAAACCTAATATAAATGTGGTTGAGTTAAATATAAAACATCTGTAGATCATAAATTCTAATAAGCTAATTTTTGTGGGTCAGTAAGTAATTTGGGCTATGCTTAGACCCCAGGAGTGAGGCAGTAGCCCGGCTTCAGCCTGAAGTGCCTTTAGGGAAGTGCTGCTAGATTCACATATTTAATATGTATCTACTGTGAGTCTCACATATCTAGTGGGAGGAGATTCATGACACTCCTCAGGTTCACTGCACATTTAGGGCTGTTTTTATTAGCTGACAGTTATAACAGGGAGATTTCACTGTTACATTTCCACATGCTTACAATTCTATGAGACTCTTATCTCCACTAAACCAAAAAAAGCCGCAAGTGGAGCTGTGTGTGGCTCAAGTGATAGAGTACTAGACTTGAGCAAAAAGGTCAGAGATAACACCCAGGCTGGGTTCAAGCCCCAGGGCAGGCACTATTAAAAAAACAAAAACCAGCCTGGGCACCAGTGGCTCATGACTGTAATCCTAGCTACTCAGGAGGCCAAGATCTAAGGATCATGGTTCAAAGCCAGCCTGGGCAGAAAAGTCTGTAAGACCCTTATCGGAAATGGCACTGTGGCTCAAGTGGTAGAGCACTAGCCTTGAACTGAAGAGCTTGGTGGACAGCACCCAGACCCAGAGTTCAAGCACTGTCACTGACAAAAAAAAAAAGTATTCCTTTCCAAAACTTACTTTTTCAGGTACTGATCCTCTCTTTTGATAAGGAAAATAAAATACTAAATGTTTTTTGGTTTTTGTGCTGGTCCTAGGGCTTGAAATCACAGCCTGGGTGCTGTTTTCTGTACCAGTCCTATCCTATTCAACTTGAACAATGCCTGTCACATCCACCAACAGCTGATTATATAAACAAATGGGACATGACAGAACTTTCTGGAAAAATGGTAATATACTGTTTATTAAATCTGGATTGGGGAAGTGCTTACACAGGAATGTATTGTTAAAGTAAACAGCTAGGTACTGGTAGCTTATACCTGTAATTCTAACTAGCTACTCAGCATCTGAAGATCATGATTCAAAGCCAGCTCAAGCAGGAAAGTCTGAGATTCTTATCTTCAACTAACCATCAAAAAGCCAGAAGTTTGGCTGTGGCTCAAGTGGTAGAGCACTAAACTTGAGTGAAAAATTCAGGAATATTCCCCAGGCCCTGAGTTCAAGCCCCAACATGGGCACAAAGAAAAAAAAAGTCATCAACCAGATAAGCATGGTTCACCTGCAATTCCAGCAATCAAAGGCTGAGACAAGAGGACCATGATGGCCTAGTTTCCGTAACCAGACTATCTCAAAAAACAAACTCATCAATCAAAATATGTCAATTGTATCGTGTAATCATGCCCAAATAAAGTTGATCATTAGAAAAATGCCTCCTTTATAGCATAGAACTATTTTAAAACATAGCTAAAAAGGTATTAGGGTAAAGTTCATATAAGATATAAATTAAGGGCTGGGAATGTAGCTTAGTGGTAGAGTGCTTGCCTTAGCATGCATGAAGCAAACCCTGGGTTCAATTCCTCAGTACCACATAAACAGAAAAAGCCGTAGCTGGTGCTGTGGCGCAAGCGGCAGAGTGCTAACCTTGAGCAAAAGAAGCTCAGAGACAATGCCCAAGCCCTGAGTTCAAGCCCCACAACTGTCAAAATAATATATAAATTATATATCAACAAAGCTGCTATTTTTTTGTCAGTCCTGGGCCTTGAACTTGGAGCCTGGGCACTGCCCTTGAGCTCTTTTGCTCAAGGCTAGTGCTCTACCACTTTGAGCCACAGTGCCACTTCCAGTTTTCTGCTGGTTAATTGGAGTAGTCTCATTAACTTTCCTGCCCAGGCTGTCTTTGAACCTTGAGGCTCACATCTCAGTCTCCTGAATAGTTAGGATTACAGAAATGGCTAAAACTGCTATTTAAAAAGAAAGAAAAAGCCGGGCACTGGTGGCTCGCGCCTGTAATCCTAGCTACTCAGAAGGCTGAGATCTGAGGACCACAGTTCAAAGCCAGCCAAGACAGGAAAAATCTGTGAGATTCTTATCTCCAATAAACCACCAGAAAACCAGAAGTGGCACTGTGGCTAGCTTTGATCCTTTGATCTGAAGAGCTGAGGGACAGCACCCAGGCCCAGAGTTCAAACCCCACAACCAAGAAAGAAAGAAAGAAAGGAAAAAGAAAGAAAGAGAGAAAGAGAAGGAAGGAAGGACGGAAGGAAGGATGGATCTAGGAATAAATAGTATTAATAGACAAAGATCCATATAAAAAGAACTACAAAATTAAACAAAAGGATAAAAGATTTAGTAATTGTCCCATATAAGAAGACCAAGAACAGTTTCTCATAACCACAGTGATATTCTCAAAATTAGATGTTAACACACTGAAATAGCAATATTACCTCACTTATAGATCTCATTCAGATTTTGTCACTTGTCTAATTAATATCCTTGACAGCCAAAAAGACACTTCCTTCTGGCCTTGGTCCAATCTGGTATTGTACACGAGCATTCAATTGTTGTGTCCTTCAACTCAACATTGTGCTGACTCCTTAGCCTTCTGTGCCCTTCACATGTATGAAATGTACAGGTCACTTACCTTCCAAAATGTTTCTTGATCTCAGCTTGCCTCATGTTTCTTCATGGTGAGATGCAAGACATAATTTTTAGCAGAAACACCACAAAGGACATATTAAGCCCTTCCTGTAAAGAAATTTGAGAATTTTTTTTCCATCTTGGCTTCCTGATTTCCCAAATAATCAAGTGTAGCCTACATTAGACATGATAAGACCTGAGTTCAAGCCCCAGTATCTGCCCGCTCCTCCTCCCCCGAAAAAAAATCACTATATCAAAAACAGAAGTCAAACCAGGCACCAGTGGCTCACACCTGTAATCCTAGCTACTCAGGAAGCTGAGATCTGAAGATCACAGTTTGAAGGCAGCCCAAGGCAGGAAAGCCTGCCTTGAGACTCTTATTTCCAATTAACTACCAAAAAACTGGAAGTGTAGCTGTGGCTCAAAGTGGGAGAGTGCTAGCCTTGAACTTAAAGCTCAGGGACAGAGCCCAGGCCCTGAGTTCAAACCCCACAACTGACAAAAAAGAAAGAAAAAAGGAAGGAAGGGAAGGAGGAAGGGAGCGAGGGAGGGAAGAAGAAGAGACAGATAGACAAGGTGGCACATAAGGCAGAAGGGTCAGCTTGAGTGTAGCAGCTCAAGGCCTGCCTGAGAAACATAGCCAGACCTTGTCTCAAAAAAAGAAAGGTCCAGCTGGGCGCAGGTGGCTCATGCCTGTAATCCTAGTTACTCAGGAGGCTGAGATCTGAGAATCAAGGTTCAAAGCCAGCCCAGGCAGGAAAATCCATAAGATTCTTATCTCCAATAAACCACTAGAAAACTGGAAGTGGTGCTGTGGCTCAAGCGGTAGAACGCTAACTTTGAGCTGAGGAGCTGAGGGACAGCGCCCAGGCTCAGAGTTCAAGCCCCATGACCGACAAAAAAGAAAAAAGAAAAGAAAAAAAGAAAAAGAAAGGTCCTTGCCTGCTAGAAGCTTCCAGTCTATTCTTTGGTGAACAATATTGTATAGGGAAGAATGTGACATACATTTTTTTTTTTTTTTTTTGCTGGTCCTAGAGCTTGAACTTAGGGCCTGGGCACTGTCCTTGAGCCTCTCTTTGATCAAGACTAACTCAAGCCACAGCATCACTTTCGGCTTTTTCTGTTTATGTGGTACTAAGGAATTGAACTCAGGGTTTCATGAATGGTAGGCAAGCCACATTCCCAGCCCAGAAATGTGACTTTTAAAATCCAATAAATCTAGGTACTGAACTGCAAATCTACCATATCCTTAGTAGTTGTGATGTCAAAAGACATGCAATCTCACAATAATATTAAAATTATTAAATTGTTGGGGCTTTAGCTATTAAGTAATTATTCAACTATTTAATAAGTTTAATATAATATTGATAATAATTATATAATTATAAGTAAATAAATATTCGATGTTATTTAGGAATAATTGTTATTATTATTGAAATTATAATGATTTCCTTTGCCCAGTTGAAGGAATTAATGATCTGCATGGTTTTGTCAAGTTTGTGATGCACTTCCCATTTTAACATTGTTGCATAGGGACAACTTGTACCCTTAATGATATCCTTCAGTCACTACTATCCAGGTACACTCTGTATGGAGGATCACTGCTGTTCAGCAGAAGGTCTGGCTTCCCTTTGACTGAGAAGGTGCATTGTTGGCATGGGACACTCTGAAGCTAAGTGATATTTTAAGTGTCTTGAAAGAGACTACACTATAATCTGAAAGGCATGGAAACAGTAATGGGGCTTAAGTCTGACTAGGAACCAAGACTGCATCATTAGAATAAAAGCCTTACTAAGCAGAAGCCTGCTTAATGTGCTACTGTTACTGAGATGTGTGGACAAGAATGGCCTACCATCGACCAGGTAAGAACACCCCAGGATAACACACGTAGAACAACTGTCAGATGCTCAGAGTAGATTCCTGGAGACCCTGGTGTGCCCTCATTTAAGAGATGCTACAAGCCAGGTACCAGTGGCTCACACCTTTAATCCTAGCTACTCAGGAGGCTGAGATCTGAGGATCTGGGTTCAAAGCCAGTGGGGCTGGAAAAGTCCTTGAGTCTCCAATTACCCACCAAAAAACTAGAAGCAGCACTGTGGCTCAAGTGGTAGAATGCTGGCCATGAGCTGAAGAGCTGAGGGACAGTGCCCAGGCCCAGAGTTCAAGCCCCATGACCGACCAAAAAGGGGAAGAGAGAGAGAGAGGAGAAAGGGGGGGGGGGGCTACAAACCCTGAAAGGATGCTGAAGAGTAAAGCTCTTAGAAGAAATATTAGGAATTTCTTTTTATTTTATTGTAACGATGCTGTGCAGAGGGGTTACATGAGTAAGATAATGAGTACATTTCTTCTTGAGCACTGTTACCCCCTCCTTCCTTGTTCTCCCACTATCGCTCCCCTCCCCCAGGACTTTCTTAATCACTTTATTTCATCCACATGTATGCACAAATGACACGATAAAAATCTGCCTCAATAAATCTCAAAGAGCTCTGAGTATATAACAAAATGAGGTGTGGCTCCATGGCAGAGTACATGTTTAGCACACAAGAGGCTATGGGTGCATCTCCAGCACCACTATCACAACATCACAAAGCATGTAACAAAAATTCTAAGTGGAACAAGTTATCTACGAGGTAGAGAATGAGAGATTTGTGGTTAGAGGCCTGTGGATTGGGGGCAGGGAGAAATACCCCACACTGACAAACAAGCCAGCACAGTGGCACACACCTACGAAGAGGCATATGGAGGAGGATCTCAGTCCAAGGCCAGTCCAGACAAAAATATAAGACTCTTTCTGAAAAATAACTAAAGCAACAAAGGACTAGGGGCATGGCTCAAGTGACAGAACACTCTGCTATCAAGGGTTAGGCCCTGAGTTCAAACTCCAAAACCACAAAGAGCAAAGAGCAAACATATCCATATAGTATTTGGTGAACACCAGGGGATAAAGGTAAGCAAAACCTGCTACACCAGCCACAACTGTCTAGAAAAGCAGAAGCAGGCACAGCAAGAAAACAAGTGACCTTCTACTTAAAGGCTTACATTCAGGAGATAAAACTTGGAAATACCATTTTCTTTGCAGTACTGGAGATGGAACCCAGGGCCTTCCACATACTAAGCAAGTGCTCTACCACTAGTTTATATTTCCAAACACCCCCCGCCCTTTTTAAAAAAATATTTTAATGTTTTTATTGCTATTATAAAGGTGATATACAGAGGAGTTACAGTTACATAAATCAGGTGAAGAATACCTTCCTTTCTTCCTTCCTTCCTTCTTTCCTTTATTTCTTTTCTTTCTTTCTTTCTTTCTTTTATTCCTTTCTTTCTTTCTTTGGCTTGAACTATAGGTCTGGTAAGAGTACATTGCTTTTTGGACAATGTACTTGCCTCTCCAGTTTTACTTCCCATCCCCACCCACAACTTGTATAGTTCATTTTCAATATAGTGTCTAGCGTGTACCCCTGCTGCATTTGTTCATCCTCTGTCCTTCCATTTCTGTGCCTCCCTTTACCCTCCCAAAGACAGATTTAAAAAAAAAAAAAAAAAACCAAGATAAAAAGAGAAGAAAAACAGCAACAAAGGAAAAAAAATCTCTTGTTTCCATTTCCTGGAATTCATTTTGATAAATATTATTTTATATGATCAGATGCACACAGGCATTGTGCTTTTTGTCTAACCCCCGCCCTTTTTTAAACTTTGTTGAACTCCTTCATGAAAACCTAATTTCCCTGCTTATTTATTTTCTCTGAAACCTTTAGTTCCTCGGGGCATGCTTACCCTAATTAAAACTGTCTATATTGTACATCAACTAGAATTAGAAATATAGTTACTTAGCCCCATACCCTAACTTCCAGACTTCCAGTTGTTCATTAGCTGGGCTGGAGTGGTACAATAGATGGGCACATACTAAAGCAGACGGAAGCACTTTAAGCTAACCAGACAAGACAGTAGGTGATTCCGTTACCTTCTTAACTTTTGCCTGGTCTGGCCTCAAACCTCCACCCTTCTGATCTCTACCTCCCAAGCAGCTGGGATTACAGGTGTGAGCCACTACACTTGATTGTAAGTAGCTTTCAAATTTAGGTGGTGCCTCTTAATCAAGTAGTTCTCATGAGCTACTAAGACTAGAGTGCCAGTTTAATAGTCTATCCTGTCACATTTGCTGAACAAGAGTCTTCTTTGTGCTGCACTGTGTATTAAATTAATTACAGTATTGTAAATAAAAAAAAGAAAGGGGGAAAGGAAGAAAGGGGGAGAAGAAAAGAAGGGAGGAGAGGAAAGGGGAAGAGAAAAAATAAAGGAAGGGAGAGGAGTAAAAGGGAGTAAAAAGGAGTAAAAGCCAAGCCTGGTAGCACTAGCTTGGGCCTGTAATCATAACTATGCAAGAAGCTGAGATCTGAGGATTACAGCTCAAAGCCAGCCTAGGCAAGAAAGTCCATGAGACTCATCTCCAATTAACCAACAAAAGGCCAAAAGGCAGAAGGAAAGCTGATTCAAGTGGTAGACTGCTAGCCCTAAGCAAAAAACCTCAATGACAGTGCCAGGTCCTCAATTCAAGCCCCAAGATTAGCAAAAAATTAAAATTAAAATTAAAAAAGCCAATAAGGTTTTGACTAATTATTTGCTTCTGGATTTTTGTTTTTTGGTTTGTTTTTTTACTTAAACCATAAGGACATTGGAATATTTCCCTAGAAACACAGAAGCCTAATAAAGAATTAAAAAACAACAACAATACTAGGGTGTTTAACTGTTCCTATTAAGGACATTCACACTTAACAGCAGTTAGAAATGTTTACCCTGACGGCAGGGTGCCAGTGGCTCATGGGAGGCTGAGATCTGAGGATCACTGTTCAAAGCCAGCAAGGGCAGGAAAGTCTATGAAACTCTCATCTCCAATAAACCACCAGAAAAACTGGAAGTGGCACTGTGGCTCAAGTGGTAGAGTGCTAGACTTGAGCCAAAGAACTAAGGGACAGTACCCAGGCCCAGAGTTCAAGCCCTACGACCAGCCAAAAAAAAAAAAAAAAGAGGGGCTGGGAAGGTGGCTCAGTGGTAGAGCGCTTGCCTTGCATGCCTGAGGCCCTGGGTTCAATTCCTCAGCACCACATAAG